ATCCTGACAGACTACTCCTGTGCCCTGCAGAGAGATATCCTCCTGCAGGGTCGCCTCTACCTCTCCGAAAACTGGATCTGTTTCTATAGCAACATATTCCGCTGGGAAACGCTGGTGAGTTGATGAATTACTCTCATCTCAGAGGGTATCAGTCTCTCACAGCTGGATCAGCAAAGCTGTGTGAGGGAAAGCAGCTAATTTTGCACAAAAATCACATTTCTGCCCTTCTTTTGAAGATGTAGCACTTTATTTGTCTTTTTAGCTCTGGCAATAGAGTGATAGAGTTTGTTGTCTTGTGCGTGTAGCTGACTGTGAGGTTGAAAGATGTTTGCTCCATGACGAAAGAGAAGACGGCTAGACTCATTCCCAATGCCATCCAGCTGTGTACAGACAGTGAAAAGGTAAACACAGGCCTTTGACTTTTGACTTTGACATATCACCAGCAGTGTACCAACACTAAACATTCACATATTCTCCTCCAGCACTTTTTTACCTCATTCGGGGCAAGAGATCGGACGTACATGATGATGTTCAGACTCTGGCAAAATGCTCTACTGGAAAAGGTTGGACAAGACATGGCATTATATCCAGTGATCTGTTGAAAACAAATGCTTGGTTGCCATGTTCACCCACCGTGTCTCTTGTTTTTATTTAGCCATTGTGTCCCAAAGAGCTGTGGCACTTTGTCCATCAGTGTTATGGGAATGAACTGGGTCTAACCAGTGATGATGAGGATTACGTACCTCCTGATGACGACTTCAACACCATGGGGTGAGTTTTCCCCCATCATGAATGTTCAACCATTTAGGTGATTCATAATTTACAAATCTCCACCCTCTCTCACAGTTTTGAGATCCAGAGATCCAGAAAACAGATGTTCATTTGTAATTTTAGGGATTCCTAAATTATCATGTGACACTGGAGTAGAAGACTGGAGTAATGGCTGTTCAGCTTTGCACCAGAGGAACAAGTTATTTTTTTAAAAAGTGTATTCAAATAAAAAACAGTTATTTTAAATTTTAAAAATATTTTACAATATAACTGTTTTACTACTGTTTTACTGTATTTTTGATCAAATAAATGCATTTGATGAGGATAAGAGACTTGTTTATATATATATATATCAGATACAATAAATCAAATACAGCCAGTTAAAAGTACCCAATCAGATATACCTAGTCAAACTTGGAAAATTTAATTCATTCATTTGCTGTAGACATCTTCATTTCTCCTCCACTATCCATCAGTCCATCCCATTGGTCTATTCTGCTGCCCGAGCTGGTAATCTTGACCTGCAGCTGTTGCCCCTCTCCCTGGTGCAGGTACTGTGAGGAGATTCCCGCTGAAGACAACGAGGCCAATGACAACTGCCCTAAAACCCCAGATGCCAAAATGGACATCAGCCCCCAGCTCCACAGGAAGGTTTTCCCCAACAGCAGTCTGAACTCCACGGACAGCACAGACGCTCCGGTCAACGTAAGCACCAGATCTCTTCACACAACACATCACTGCATTACTGTGGGAATTATAGTTTGTATGACAGTAATGCTTTACCGGGTGGTTAAGGTTGCCGTACCTGACCATTGCAGCACAACGTTAGGATGGCAAACTCATGTTTTGGGTGTTTGATATTTTATTAATGAAAAATATTCACAAACAATCTTTCTATCTATGTAGTTTGACGTGCCCCCAGTGGAGGACTTCAGTGGCTGCGTCCCAGAAGACCTCGTACCCCTGCCATTACCTGACAACAAGCTGTCAGAGACCAGTGGCTCCGCACATGCCCCCGTCCCCGTCCCCGTCCCCATTCTTTCCCTTGACCTCAATGACAATGAGGACCTCCCCACTGAACTCAGCGACTCCTCAGAAACACACGATGAGGGTGTGTACGCTCTCCCAAAACTGATTTCTACATCCAACAATTTCTATATATTGTACCACATCTGGCCTGACACACGGCCTCTTCCTGTTTCTGTGTTCTCAGCAGGGGAAGTGCAAGCCTTCCAGGAAGATCTGAATGGGAAACTGTACATTAATGAAGTATATAAGTTCAGTGTGGATAAACTGTATGACATCCTCTTCACTGAATCCCAGTTCATGAGAGAGTTTCTGGAGCAGAGACGCTTCTCAGGTTGACCAACTCTATGTAATAGTCTTTATACAGCTATCTGTCTGTCTGTCTGTCTATCTGTCTGCCTATATCTGACTATTATTGATTTCACCTTTTTTCTCTTTCAGATGTGGTCTATAACCCATGGAGGAAAGAAGACACTGGTAATCAGAGCAGAGAGATCATGTACACCATCTCCCTCTCCAACCCACTGGCCCCAAAGACAGCCACAGTTACAGAGACGCAGGTGAGCTCACCAGAGGAGACAAACAAGCCGCATACAGTACATGGGACATGTTAAATGTAGTTTTGTCTTGATGATGCTATGAAAAGCTGCTGTTTCTTTGTTTTTCTTCTAGACTCTGCACAAGGCCAGTCAAGTGAGCGAGTGCTACATCATCGACGCTGAGGTGATTGCTCACGATGTCCCGTATCACGATTACTTTTACACGCTCAACCGCTACATGCTCACTAGAGTCGCCAAGAACAAGTGCCGCCTGAGGTAAAGCTTGTGCTCTATATTTATTAACTCTTTACTCTATTTTTAATGCTCTGCAAAAACATTTTCTAGCATGTAAGGGTAAAATGCTGTGTTTTTTCTTATGAATCTAAAAGGGTGTCAGCTGAACTACGCTACAGGAAGCAGCCATGGGGACTGGTCAAGAGCTTCATTGAGCGAAACTTCTGGAGTGGCTTGGATGAATATTTTAGATATTTAGGTACGTTTTAGTAGAGCAGGGACTTAAAAATTTTACTGCATAATAAAGTATAAAAATGATAAAAAAATAAATAATATTTATGCCAATAATGGACTATTGAAAATTAAAACTAATTTTAAATCATTAAAGGGCACCTATTATGCAAAATCCACTTTTACATGGTGTTTGGACATAAAGGTGTGTTGGCAATGTGAAAACAACCACCCTACAATGACAAAATTTTTTAATTTTTTAATCCCCATTAAACCAAATCAGTCTCACTAGGCCTGCCGTTTTGATTCTCTAAGCAATATGACATCACATCGCATAGGGCCGGTCCACGGCGGCTGATTGACAGCCCTGCATTGCTATAGTTTCCGCCCTCAGCGGTTGTACGTTGTTCTCCATTTTCCATGTAACGTCAGCAATGTCTCGTAAGCAATCCCTGTGTCATCCCTAATCCCTCAGTCATGTTGCATCTACCGGCTGTTTAGGTATGCAAACTAAGCAGAGAGATGTATATGCTACGCCCTCTTCTGGAGACGGGGTGGGAATATGCAGCTAATTTGCATTTAAAGTGATAAAAACACTGTAATAAAAAATCATTCAAAAAACGGTCAAATGACTGGCATGCCAAACAAAAACCGTAAAATTACAGTAAAATATCTTAATTGAAATAAAGTGCAAAAACAATAATTTTACAGAAATTGTCATTAAAGGTTTTACAGAAAAAAAGTGTTATTTTACACATTTTTCCTTGTTTCAATTCTGATATTTTACTTTAATTTTACCGTTTTCGTTTGACAGCCGTAGCTGCTAGTCATTTGACCGTTTTTTTTTTTTTTTTACAGGATTTTTTTACAGTGTAAAACCCTTATTTTACAGATTTTTCCATGTTTCAATTACGATATTTTCTTTCATTTTACGTTTTTTGTTTGGCAGCCGTAGCTGCCAGTCATTTGACCGTTTTTAATGGGATTTTTTTTTACATTGCACCAAAACAGCTCTATTTTAGACATGCCCCAAAAATGACATTTTCCAGATGTTTAATAAATTAAATAAATGTTCCAGATGTTAGATAAATGATTTGTGGGGTATTTTGAGCTGAGAATTCACAGACGCATTCTGGGGACACCCAAGACCAATATTACATCTTGTAAAAGGGGACATAATAGGTGCCCTTTAAATATTTTCTTACAATGTTACCAATAATAAAATTACAAAATGTAATTAAAACGCATAGAACAGGATAAAAAGAATAAAGATGAAAATAATATCTGTTTCTCTGTCTCTTTTCTGTGTGTGTGTGTGTATATATAGAGCTGGAGTTGAGTAAGGCACAGCTGGTGCTATCTGAACCTCATAAACAGTCTCCCAAATCCAAAGCCCTACGCACAGCTACAGTGAGACGGAGGAAACGGCCGCTGACGCACATGAGGCAGCAGCACCTGGACGAGGCGCTCAGTCCCGTCACCACACCTGAGGATGAGAAGAGTGTCATCCATCGCATCAAACACGTGGCAGGTGCGACATTAGCCAAATCTCTCCTAGTGTTCCTGGGCATTATTGTTCAGGAATGTGATTTTTCCATATAAATACAGATTTCTGCATTACTGCATTATGATTGAAATCGCGCAAATGGCCTTAAGCTATTACCTAAATAAACTGTGAAAAGATTGTTTTCTAAAACATTATGGACGGAATGGTCCTGAGAGCGCTGTACGAGCTTGCGGCGCCATTTGCAGGACAGTTAAAAGCGTTCAAATGATTCAAAGCGCCAAACGTGAGTAGAATCAGCGCTGAAACGTGTTACTCGAACCAGTAACTTTTTATGAATGGCGGTGAGAATTTGAGGCTGCGTTCGAAAACTCTAAAATGCTGCCTTCGGAGGCAGCATTCCAAAGCAGGAAGGCATCAAGGCATGTCCGAATCCAAATTCTGCTTTACTTCCTGTCTCCGGAGGTACCTTCTTCTGATCGAATTTTGAAGGCAGCATAGATGTATCCTTCGCTGCCTTTGATATCCCACAATCCCGTGCGTTCCATTCCGTGACGGTTGAGCTAAAAAATAAAGATGGCGTCTGAAAGTTGCGTTTGGTGGTCAGTTTGTGTGTGAATGTATATTTCTGACTAACTTTTTGCACTTTTGATGCTATTTCTAGCGAGAAATCAGTATTATAGTAATTAAATATTCGTTTAGTTATCACAAAAACTCATTCTATTTTGTTGTAGATCATTAAACCATTACGCTGCCTCAGAAGCCTGTGCGAAATCAGTTTCATGAGGTGCCTTTGTGCAAAAACGCTGCCTGCAAAGTCATTGCCTCATACAAGAGCGAGGCAGCAAGTTAGCTGCCTAAGTTTTCGGATGCAGCCTGAGATTGCTAGTGCTGTCCTAAAATTCGCAACGGTTGTGATGTAATTATATAATAGACTGTAGTCTGACGCGCTACACGTCTGCTGTTACAGTACTGTTTTTAGCTTCGATTCACTGTTAGTGCATTTGGGAACGCAACATTCGTCATTAGAAATGTTTATACAAATCTGTTGTTGTTTAAAAAGAGAAGTTTCAGTGTCACATAATCCTTCAGAAATCATTCTAATATGCTGATTTGCTGCTCAAGAAACATTTCTCATTATTATCAAAGTTAAAAACTGTTTTGCTGCTTAATATTTTTGTGGAAACAATGATGCCAATCAAACGTTTGTATAAGATTTAAAAAAGAGAGAGAAATTACAAATTTTATTCATCATGCATGAAAGTGATAAAAAGTGAGTGACGACTTTTAAAATGATTTCTCTGTAATAAATGCATTAACAAATTTCATTAATATATTTGATAACTGCAAATAAATGCTGTTCATTAAACTTTCTATTTATCAGAAAATCCTGAAAAATAAAGTGTATCACCATTTCCACACATAATATAAAGCAGCAAAATTGTTTTCAACATTGATAATAATCATAAATGTTTCTTGAGAGCCAAATAAATTGTTATGATTTCTAAAAGTTCATGTGACACTGAAAATTGGAGTAACGATGAAGAAAATTCTGCTTTGCACCACAGGAATAACATTAAATTTTATAATATATTAAAATTGAAAACTTTTTTTTAATTTGTAATAATATTTCACAATATTGCTGGTTTTTTTTTTTACTTTATTTTGATCAAATAAATTCAGCCTTGATGAGCAGAAGATATTTATTTCAAAATCATTAATAATTGTAATGTTTCCAGACTTTTGGTAGGTGCTTTGATAATAATAACAATTCTATATACTTTACTATAATATATTATAGTACTTCATTATAGTATATTATATTATATTGTTATCATGATTATTAAATGCTGCTTTTTATTTTTTACAGGACAATAGTATGTATTATTAAAATATAGGATATATCTTTTAATGTGCTAAATATATATTTTTAATAATAAGTGCTGGGGGTGTGGCTTGTGGGCATGGTCAGATTTTCCTTCTTTTTTGTCTCTAGCTGATCACATGCCTGATTGTTGTTTTTGTGTTACTGATTATAATGTATGTGCTGCCGCAGGATCCACACAGACCAGACACATCCCGGACCACGGATCTGAAGGCCTGGCTCTCTACAGCGTTTCCAAACTTCTGTTTATAATCAGCTCTGTGTGAGTATTCGCATTGAGAAACCATATCACAGGACTTCTTTTCTCCACTCCTTTTCTCCTAAATTGCTCATTTTAGCAAATAATGTCTAACTGCAATATAAAACTGACACATGCATCTCATTTAAAGGTGCCATGTGAAGGAAGTTTCCTGTTATTAAATACAAGAATATGATGTATACATAATATAGCATGCTATAAATGTATAAACTAGGCCTCTTTAAAGTCTTCATTGCATGTTTCATTCAGTGTCTACTTTGGTCTGATAGTCTTCATATTGCACCCTCTGTTATATTTTTAGAAGACTAAAAGGTTTCTTTGTTTATTTCACATTTCTTAGTGACTGTACAAGTAACTCACACTGTTGATCAGCTGGAATTCGTTGCATTCTGTTGTTCTTTGACTTCATGTATTTTCTCTCTCCTGTTTTCATTGCATTCTGCAGGATTTGTGTAAGGTATTCAATGTTTTCATCTGTATGAACGTGAAACTTGTTTAGCTGCTTTAGGATTTAAGCGTTGCTGTTCATGAGCTAATCTGAGTTTGTCCTCTTCTGCTCTTCAGTCTGGTGCTACTGGTATTTTTGAACATGATGCTGTTTTATAAGCTATGGATGCTGGAATACACGGCTCAGAGTTTGACCGGCTGGCAGGGTCTCAGGTCTCATGAAAGGTATAGTAACTAGACCTTTGAATGTGTTTATTTGTTATTTTTTAGAGATGGAATATGAGGTTTTTCAAAACTCCTAAACTTTGGCACATAACTCGTCCTGCACCGTTTGTGCCACTCTGCATAAAATCTTTTTAATCTGTTTTGTTTTGTTTTTTAAGTACAACATCAAATTAATTGAGCAATATTGCATAAGTTCTTACCTCATTGCCCAAATGTTTTTTTTTTTTAAATACACTCAGTATACATTTTCTGTCTTTTTCAGATTTTGCTTTTCAAGTCTTTTTATTTTTTTGTTGTTGTTGCATTTTTACCAGAACACAAGAGGAAACACTATTGATAAATAAACTGATTTTTGCAGCATATGAACTTGAATGATACTTGTGTGAGGAATGTTTTTGGCTCTGTGTGTGTTGCAGTAAACTTCCACAGACACAGATTGAATGGGCTCAACTTTTGGAATCTCAGCAGCGTTACCATGAAAACGAGCTGGAAAAATGGAGGGAAATAATAAAGTCATCTGTGCTGTTATTAGATGAGGTAAGATCAAGTTCAAGTTTGAAAAATGGGGAACTTTTATAACTGCATCCTATTAACTCTTTCCCCGCCATTGACGAGTTATCTCGTCTTTCAAAAGAAAACGCTTCCCCGCCAAAGACGAGTTTTTATGGCTCGGCATATAAATGAAAACTGTAGTTTTCCGGGAAGTGTTGATCCGGGAAGTGGTATATGTCTGTGCAAGCTTTGGAGGTGTTGATGGAAGCGATTTACTGGATTTATGCTTTGATAATCGTACTGAATATTATCCTGATGTAGTTTTTAATAAAAATGTGATTTGCTCACCTTTTTGCTCAAAATTATGCATTTTTATGAAACCTACCAATATTCAAGTGTTGATAAAAAAAGAATGCTTTAAGCTAGAATAAAACAGAGTAGAAAGTAGAGGCTCTGATCTTTATTTTGGTGTATTGCATATTCAAATATTCATACAGAAAAATATACTGGAGGCCATCAAATTTGAGTGAAAATCATCAAAATCGCTGGCGGTGGCTGGCAACTTTTTTCAAAAATGCTGGCGGGGAAAGAGTTAATAGAGTATCAACAATGAGGAATAATTATGAATGGATAGTTCACCCAAAAAATTACTCATTTTTATGTCATTCTAAATCTATAGCCTTGCTTTCTTCAGTAGAATACAAAATGTGAAACCTGGAAGAATTTTGCGTGAAAGTGTTCCATGTATGATTATATCCCAAATCTTTAAAATTGAACTATTTCTTTAAGCTGCAGTCATTAAAGGATTTCAAAAATGTATTTGGGTGTTTACAGATGAGAGGGTCTCTAATGAAGCTACAGAAAGGTATGGGGTTGAGAGACTACGATTCAGACAGTGAAGAAAGGCGAAGTCGCTATCACTGAGTCCCGGCTCAGCCAATGTAATGAACATCTCCACATGTAAGCGACCCGATGAGCTGGGCCGGGGCACTGACTGAACGGCTCTCACGGTCCGGCTGCAGCGCTGTGAGGCCTTTCTGACGACAGACACTGATGGAAACCCAGTACTGCAATTTCTCTGTCTTCTCTGCGATGAAAGAGCTGAAAAAAATGAAGGAATGCAGTCCTGTGATCGTGGAATCGGTCTGTTCACCCAGGGCTAAAACAAACGCACCAAAACAATTCAACAGTCACTTCAAAACAGACACAGACTCTGGTTTAAACACTTGAGCGGATGTTGGAACTCGGCAGCATCACTTTTTTAAACCTTTTGGAGTCTGGGACCAGATAAAGAAGATATGGAGTTACTATCAGCAAATGTTGCGTTGACATGTACACATTTATTTATAAAAACAAAATATGGAATTTAATCATATTATGATACACATGAAAATATATAATTTCTATGTATGTAGAGCTATATTTGTTGCCAGAGTTCATTTGTAACAGGCTTCCATGGAGAATCAAGGCTGGTTCCTTGATAGCTTGCGCCATGGTGCATCAACTATATGCAACTGGTATATCCTCCCCTGTTTGGAGGACTGACTTCCTCCGATTGGTTGATTTGCAATGGCAAAAGAGCCATGGTCTCTAACATTCCATCTACCAAGCGTCATCGGCTGCATTCCAGTTTCCATGCTACTGCACATTAAAAGTACATACTTGGAAAAAAGTACATACTTTTAGGCATATAGTTAGGACACGGTTAAGCCACAAGTATACTTTTTCCATGTTCCGATCCATCTTGCCTTTCAAAGTATACTTCATTTTTCATGAATGGCCAAATCACTTGCACATTCACTGACAGATGATTTTTCAGTCTTCGCCAGTTTAATGTGCAGAGTAAACTATAGGAAAATACTGTGCACATTTAACATCAAACCGAACAGGAAAACTCAATAAAAAAAAAAAAAGAAGAGTTGAACCGAAAGAGTTGACTATAGGGCCTTTCTGCGTTCTGATTCGGTTCTAGTACATACCGGTTACATAGGTACCGGTGCCATATTAGGGCCTTTCGCACCGCTTTAGTTACAGAACTAAATGTACAGTACTAAAGTACTAGGACGATTTTGCGCTTACTATTTCCCAGTACCATTTAAAGGGTTTTTCATTCGCACCGACTGTGTACTAGGAAGTGACGTAAGCCGGTCGACAGCAACGTCATTTGTGCACGGCGTTCAACAACGGAAACAAAGGAAGAACAATGTTAACAACAGGAGGATGGAGGACATTTTGTTCCTTCGAATTCCAACTGGATTTCCTCCGTTGCATAAATGTTCAAAAGTGCCTGCACTTCAGCGTCCGTCCATCTATCGCTGTTCTCCATACTTGTGAAATAAGTTGACACAATGTTTACAGTATATTTACACGGTGTTTTAAATCATGGCGGGGGGGGGCGTTTTCGTACGCGTTTGGCCAATCAATGTCTACTTGCGTCGCGATTAGTACCAGTTGTGCTGGTTAGACCCTGCTCCGGAGTAGGAGCTAATTTGGCTCTCGAAAAAGGCAGTCCGGTACTAAAATTGCACCCAGTTCCAGTGGTGCGGAACCGCCAAAAAGTGGGTAGTTCCACAATTAGTTCTGGTACTATGAAAAGGTTCCCGCGGTGCGAAAGGCCCTTATGAAGTCAAGCAACCGTGGTGTTGTCTGTTTCTAGCTCGCATTTAGATTTTTACTTCTGGCACTTAGGCTTCAAAAGTCGTAAAAGTTTTGTTCATTGGAGAAGATATCATGATGAATAAAACGTGGAAGAAGCATAAACCATTGTTGGTCACAGAGATTACTTTCTGCAATAAACCAAAAGCCAATGGAAAAATCCTTTTGGGTTTTTGTCGAGGGAACCAGGGTGATATGCCATCACTTCAGTGCTCTATTATGAGGAAGAGTATGGGAATTGGGTTGCAGCCATCAAATCAACCAAACCTCTCATGCAGTGGTTAACTACAGCAGGTCCACCCCAGCCAATAGCATCCATTCATTTGTGAATGAGTTATTGTTACATGAATGTGTTTCTGTTCTCCCTCAGGGTTCATTTATATCCTGCAGACAGCTGTAAACAACTTCATAATGCCAAGCTACGATGTTAAAGCCATTCCAAGATTATTATTTTTTTCCATGTTGTATGTTGTTTTTGTGTTTTGATGCTAAACCAGCTGCTGGACGGGTGAGAGATGCACATTGGTCATGTGATGTCAGAAAGTATTTAACATTGTTTTTGTTAGTGTTGTGAAGCTGGACAGACATTTATCTTGATAAATTGTTCTTACAGAGAGACCAGCAGTGGGTGTGTTAAGACTGGACTGTGAAAAATCCAGGTTATGCTTGAATTTACAGAGAGAAACTGTCTAGAAACTTTGGCAATATAATAAAAAATCAACCTCATGAAAATGGTCAAATTGACTAAAACCTCTTGAGGTGTCATATGCAAAAACTTGTGTTTTCTCATACAAAACTCCGACAAACATTGATATTGAGCCATGGTGCTCATGTAGGCAACACGGGTTCGAGTCATGAGTAGCCGATTTCCTGATCCTGTTCCCCTCTTTCCTCCTCATCAAGAATAATTTTAATTCTTAATTCTAAAAGGCCAAAAATCAAATTAGAAATGTATTTACTGGAGTTGATCTATTTCTAACCAGCAATTCCACAATCTAAAGTTCTGGTTTGAATATTTAAATATCAAGTGGTTTTTGTGGAGTCTTTCACATATTATAAAACATAGAGTCCTATAGTTTCTGATTCATGTAGATTTTGCCATGGAATCAGCTTGTTTTAAGTTCATTAATAAGTCCAGTTGACTTTGGCATTGTTTAAACCAATGTATGAACTGATGTAAAGAAACAGAGCTGATGGCTGTCTCAGTCAAGAACATGTGATAGATGTGAAACTTCTTAGACGGATATGAACCAGTCCAATTTGTTCAAAGCAACTGGATCTTAGATGTTCATTTTGTCCTGTGAGGTCTTGTGCATGATTTTTGGAGCCTCTGCTATCCCATGTTGGCTTTAGTGGCAGACCTCTTGTGCTATAGCAACAAGGCCAATTAGGAAATGTAAAAATAGCATCTGCGGGCCGTAGTGATCAACCTGCACTGTTTACGCTAAGGGGTCAGTTATCTGTTAAGAAAAGACACACACAAAATGCATTTTTCATGATGGTTATGTTCCTAAAAATCAATCCAGAGCAGGGACTACAGTTCATTCATGTCTGTATTCATCCTCATTGTCATTAAAGCAATATGCAGTATTAAATGTGCAATGTGTGTTCAAGTAGAGTGTGTAAGTACTGCTGAAACTCCACATGAACCGTCTGTGAATGTATTTTCTAGCTGAAAGACGATCCTTTGTTTGGACATAACCTGCTGGGTTTGGAAGCACGGGTGATTTAGAAGGCACTTTTGATGTCAAGCACTGAGAGGCCACAACAATGGTGCCACATTGCTCACTGTCAGGCCCTAAAAGTATTATTTTTCAAGTTCTGCTTACAGTATTATTTTTTACAGTAGCCTATGTGCACAGACAGGATGGTTGCTTTATTATGGCCATGACTGTTATGGTCCGGATGGTTTGGAAATTCATATTTGGTATTTTTTTTAAGGCCATGTCAAATCCGGGTTATTCTTTGTGTATTTTTTTTTTCCTGAAACATTGAAAGAAAGAAAAATGAATATATATTGTAATTACAACATTGAGGCTTTTTAAATTATTTAAAGTTTTCTTCACAAAATGTATATACACACAAGTATACTGCAATGTATGTATATGTTGTGTACAGTCAGTGCACATCCTACATGCGCTGGCTGCACTGTGGGATCCCTGAAAAACAGAAAGGAAAAAAAACTATACAGTTTGTGTTGTCAAGAAATAGGCGGAATGAATAAAAGTATTTAAAAGAGATTTTTATTGCATGTTATTACTTGCTACATTTTCTGCATTTTTATTATTTATTTCCTCTCAACAATATTTATACATAGAATAAATTGGAAGACAGAAAAGATCAGAAAAATGCCAAATGGACTAAAATAACCTTTACTCTTAGTTTATTGCTTGAATCCTGTTAGTGTTTGTCTCCACCTTTGTGGCTGATATCACATACTGTAATTTTTTTTAATGAATTTTATTACCATTAACTCATGTAAACTGTGCTATTTTTGACATTTACCCCAGTGTCGAAAGTGCCCCAGTTTACCTGAATTAACTCTACATTTAAGATGTCATAACAGTCCGAAATTGGTACTCCTTTTATCCCATAATGTTTTAATGAACAATTATTTGATTGTAATTTATCTACAAAGAAGACTTTTGAAGACATAGAAGGTAAACTGCAGTAATTGCTCATTTACAGACATGCTCTACTTGGAGATCTCTAGGGTCCTTTCTTCTAAATGCCCCAATTAATCTCAGTTTTTCAGGGAGAATAATTCCTCACCAGAATGACCCACATAACTAAACAAAGAAAGGTTGCTACAGATGTTAAAAGATTTCTGTGTAAAACAACAGTGAGTAAAATTGTAAATTATGACCAGAGATTTGAAGGCAAATCAAGTGGCCAAAAGGTTTACGTTCTTCTTATTTTCTCCAAATATTTAAGCCAATAACTATTTATTAAAATTAGTGACATTCAAACAAGCCTCCTTGTCAGAACACACAGTACTTTCTGTTTTCCCTCATATTTACAAAATGAGTTCTTCTTCCCCCCTCTAGTTTGTATTTATGAACGTAAACTAAAAGCGATATGACGCAACAAACTAACACGCTATTGGTCAGTTGATAGTGGTCGCGTCGCTCGCCTGCAGTCATGTTGAAGAACACCCGCCCATGACAGTGTTGCCAGATTGGGCGGTTTTGAATTTGATTGTGCGTGTAAAAATTGGCTTGGGCGGGTGAACAAAATTTGGGATGGTTTGGGGTCAGTTTGGCGTATGTAAACGTCGACAGCCGCACTTATCACGAGGGCTCAGCAGACAGTTGTTATGATTCATGAGTGACAAGTTTTTAGCGAGATAAGTTAAAGTTATAACGTATCTGATTTTGAATGTAGTATGACTGTATATTCAAGTAATCACAATGCCTAAATACAGTGGCGTAACTTTGCTTTGAAAAGTGGTGGGGACACCGCGCAACTATTTTTCTAGTTTTTTATTTATCGGTAGCCTAATTCTCTTTAATGTAGGCTATTCGCCCCGATTTGATCCGTTTACCTGCAAAATTTATCTTATTTATAATTTATATTAGCCTATTTTGTCGTCAATATTTTGTTTTAAGGAGTTAAAATGGCCCTTATCAACCTTGATTTACATATTCTATAACATTATTTTGACAGTTAAAGTTTTGGGAGGTTTTTGGGCGGGTTTTTGTGAGCTTTTGGGATGGAAATCGTCCATCCAATCTGGCAACACTGGCCCATGACTGCTGATCTCCTCCTCTTCCAGGAAGTGAAAAAAAGGCGTCAAATAAGGACGAACAAGGGAAACACGTCCTCCTCACATCTGTCCCTCTCCCTCATTAATCCGTTAATCACATTAATGTTTTAGATTGTCGTGGAACGCAGCTGTATGATGTCCACTAGAGCGCGAAACAGAGAGATCTGCGCGGACTGCAGCGCGCCCGGTAAGACCAACAAAACAAACATGAAACAAACGCAAACAGTGCTGATGAGATCCTGTAGGGTTTTATTCAGACAGATGTTTATAAAATTAATTTCTCTTCGATTATTCTCAAGCAAACGCCGTAATAATCCTTACGTATTACATGGATATTGGTGCCTGAATAAAACAGATTGCGGTTAAATGACAATCCTGATATTCCCAATGGAAAATAGCGCTAACTGATGATGTTCAGGCCCTCGGTTTTTAAAAAAAAATAATTTCTCTGCGAAGCAAAACCCCATCTTAATTTTAATAAGACAAAGGAAAGACCAGACAATATGTGGAGACCAGTTTCCATC